CTGCATACTCCCAGGACACACGATGTGCATATATATATATATATATATATATATATATATATGTAGACGCATTTAGGGTTTGCGCGATTTGTACATGCTTGAATAAGACGTGTGGGTGTAGGATGTGTTTAGGGTTTAGGGTTTAGGGTTTGTGCTTGCCTGTAGTCTTGTAGAATAGGCTGTAAGACCTGGCCGACAAGTTCTTTAACAGTTTCTTTTTTAGCAGGTGCATGTGTATCTTTGAGTGCTTCATCAGCATACACTTCAAATAAATGAAGAGTTTCTCTCTTATAAATAAATAGACTTCTTAAGTCTGCATGCTTTATTCTATTAGGACCCTCTCTCTGAACTTCCCAGACAATCTTCTGTCCGTACAGTCCGTACACTTCCATCATCTCAGTGTATAATTGAAGTAATTGAGGGGTGAATGCAGAACCAGTTGACCTGCATAACAATATTAATTAATTAATTAATTAATTAATTAATTAATTAATTAATTGTTTATTTAGTTGTTTAATTAATTAATTTATTTATTTATTTATTTAGTTGTTCATGAAGACGGTGAAAAAAGAAGAAAAAGATAAATGAGATTAAAAGGATAGATAAAATGAAAGGGTTAAATAAAAGAATAAGCAAGATAAATAAGGTAAATAAGATAAATAAGATAAATCAGATAAATAAGATAAATAGGATAAATAAGATAAAAGATTAAAAATGTAAATAAGATAAATAAGGTAAATAAGACGAGTAAGATAAAAAGAAAAGGATTAAAAGGATCAAAGAAAAGATAAATAAGATAAATAAGACAAAAAGACAGGAAAAAATAAAAAGGATAAGAGCAATACTAAAAAAAGATAAAAAATATAAATAAAAAGATAAACAGTATGAAGAGCAAGATAAGAAGACAAAAAATATAAATAAAAAGATAAACAGTACGAAGAGCAAGATAAGAAGATAAAAAAGATAAACAAAAAGATAAACAGTATGAAGAGCAAGATAAGAAGATAAGAAATACGAGCGAAAGAAAGATAAAAAGGATAGATAAAAAGATAGATAAAAAGATAAATAAAGAGATAAATAAAAAGATAGATAAAAAGATAAATAAAAAGATAAAGATAATCATACTTTGCAATCCGCTGACTAATCCGAATAATATGAACAAGTTGTCTTGAAGAGTGAACTGAAAAAAGTGCATCTGGATTAGAATTTCTTTGAGCAAGAGTTTCCTTCCATTTGTTTAAGCTCGAAGACATCAAAGCAGCAATACATTCTGTCTGCACACCTGGTGCTGCAACAAACAAGCAGCAGCAGCAGCAGCATATACAGACATCAGCAGCAGCAGCAGCATATACAGACAGCAGCAGCAGCAAGCAGATAGAAGCAGCAGCAGAGAGACAGCAGTAGCAGCAAAAAGATAGCAGCAGCAGCAGCAGCAGAGAGACAGCAGCAGCAGCAAGAGAGACAGCAGCAGCAGCAGAAAGACACCAGCAGCAGCACAACAGACGAAAGGAGATTAAATAAACAGCAAAGCATGCAGAAACAAACGCGAGGAAACAAAAACAAAAACAGAACATGGGCTCTGCTTGAGTTTCGTTTTGCTTCTACTGAAGTTTGCTGCTGCTGTCTCTATCTTCCTTCTGCGGTGTACAGTCAGATATGCATCTTCTTAACACAACGCAAGAGGGCTTAGGGTTTAGGGTTTTGCGCTGCGTGGGCGTCCTTTCAAAATTAGGGTTTAGGGTTTAGGGTTTTAAGGTTTAGGGTTTTAGGGTTTACGGTTTGCTTACGGGTAGCAGAGATTATATGTCCCACCGCCTCAAAGAAGAGAAGCTGCTGCTTCTCATCTAAAACTGATGTCTGCTGCGAGTGGTTTTCTATGACTGTTAACACGAAGTTACGCTCGTCCTCTGCAACACAAACCCTAAACCCTAAACCCTAAACCCTAAACCCTAAGTCCTAAGTGCTAAACCCTAATCTCTACACCCTAAGTCGAAAGAGTCATCACGCAGTGTTTCTTCATTCTTATTGCAGCCCCCTCATAAACCCTTCCCCACGTTGATCTTTCCATTAAGGGTTTAGGGTTTAGGGTTTAGGGTTTACCTTGGTGGGTGGCTGCGATGGTTTGTTTGCACTTTTGAGCAACCTTTAAGAAAGTTTCGCAGGCCATGTCGCGCACCCCCGGAAAGGACTCATGCATAAACTCAAACAATTTAGCAATGACTGTCTTCAAGAACTTCCAGTATGCTCGCAGAAAACGAGGGTATTGACCGACTACATACATTATGTTGCTCGCTACTATCTGGTGTACGTACACCCCACACCCCACACCCCACACCCCACACCCCACAAACCATAAACCATAAACCCTAAACCCTAAAGCGTATATTAAATCCTAAACCCTAAAGCGTATATTGAACCCTAAACCCTAAACCCTAAAACCCTCAAATCTGAGCCTGTGAACAACCACCAACCATGAACCACAAATCCAAAACCCTAAACCCTAAACCCTAAACCCTAAACCCTAAACCCTAAACCCTAGACCCTAATCCCGCGTATCGTACCGCTTTATTTCCCTTTCCTCTCATAGACTCGCAAAGGTTGAGGAGGCTGCGAATAACTTCGACAACGAAAGGCCTCTCGACTGCTTCGCTCATCGCTCCGCTGATGGACCCAATGCTGTAACAAAGCCGGTTTAAAGTAGTTGAATTCCACTGCTCTCCTTGAATGGGGGCGTGCATGCACTGTACGTACACCCCACAAACAACCATATATATAAATATAAATATAATATATAAATATAAATATAAATGTAAATATAAATATAAATATAAGTGTAAATATAAATATAAATATATGTATATATGTAGAAGGGCAACACCAGCAACAATAAATATGTACATACATATATACACATGAAGCAACGCATGCTGCTGCTCCTCCTGCTGCTGAAGCAGCAACAGAAGAAGCAGCAGCAGAAGGAGCATGTGCTGCTGCTGCCACTGCTGCTGCTGTTGCTGCAGATACAGCATCGCAGATGAAGATAACTCTCTCTGTCTCGACCATCTTCCTCACAACAACAACTGCACGCATGCATGCACTTCTCACTGCATGCATGCATGCAAGTGCATGCATGCATGCATGCATGCATGCATGCAGCCCCACATACCTCTAAATGAAGTACGGAGAGCATGAGTCTTTGGGTTTCTAACTGGCCTAAGTTTGTTAGAAGTACTTGTGTACAGCGCATTGTGTTGTACAGAGACACCTCAGCTGCAGAGTAGACAAATAAATAAAAATAAATAAAACAATAAAAATAAATCAAACAATAAAAGTAACAAACAGAAATAAACAATAAGTAATTAAATAAACCCATCTACGAATTAATGTGGTGCTTATTTAACTATTTATTTGTTTATTTGTTTATTTGTTTATTTGTTTATATTTATTTATTTATTATTTCATTAAGTAATTATTTATAAATGCATTTATTACTTCGTGATTTACTCCTTCAGGCGTTGGCAACAAATACAGAAAATAATAAATTTATTAATTTAATTAAGCGAACTACTCATATATATATTTATTAATAATTAGTTAATTAAACTGCGTTATCTATTTTATTTATTTATTAATCAATAATAGTCTTTCATTTCAATTAATAAACAAACAAACGAACAAACGAACAAAACAAACAAACAAACAAACAAACAATAAATAAACAAGCAAACAAGCAAATAAACAAACAAACGAACAATAAATAAATAAAACGAAACAATTGATAGATAGATAGATAGATAGATAAACAATAGATAAATAAAACAAAACAATTAATAAATAAGTAAAACAAAACAATAAATACGTAAATAAAACAAAACAATTAAATAAATAAATAAATAAATAATAAATAATTAAATAGATAAACAAATAAATAAACAAATAAATAAATATATATATACCTGTATCTACTTCATAATCGCGTGTTACTTCGCCTGTCTCCTCATCAAATTGAATATACACCTCTTGTGGCTTCGCCATCCTACTAATTAAAACCCCTCGAACTTCGTTTAAAACTTCAGCATACTGTTTTACTCTCCAAGATAACTCAGCAGGAGTAAGAGAACCTAACAAACAAACCTCAAACCCTAAACCCTAAACCCTAAACCCTAAACCCTAAATTCCCGCTTAAAACCGCAAAAAAACGACACCCATCAATGCATAAACCCTAAATTTTAAACCTTAATACATAAAATACTATGAGAATACAAAAACCCTAAACCCTAAACCCTAAACCCTAAACCCCTAAATCCTAAACCCTGGTGGACAAAGCAAAACGACGACTGCACTGAGACAAACAGAATAAATGTCTGTCCTCAACAAAACGCAAGGGTTTAGGGTTTAGGGTTTACAGCGAGACAACAACTCAGCAGCCCAGGGCCGCATAACCCCCCTGCAGGTAGGATATTCTGAAGTGTACAGACAGAAGAAACCCTCGCCTTGCAAAGGATTAGGGTTTAGGGTTTAGGGTTTTGTTTACCTTCTCCACCGTCAGCTGAGAGCAACAGCGGACCCTCAGCATTCCGCTGCTCTTGCCTCTTCTGCGCAAACAACACAGCACCCAAAACCCTAAACCCTAAACCCTAAACCCTAAACCCTAAACGCTAACCCCTACAGCTTATATAATAATAAGAAAAGCGTGTCTCTGCCTGCCGAATAGTTTGGAGCTGGAGGTGCGACCTGCCGTTTTTGCGCAACTAGGGTTTAGGGTTTAGGGTTTGGGGTATGATAGAATAATTACTTTAGCTTCTTGATGAACTTCATGAAGGAGTGTCTCCGCAAAGGCAAACCAGAAGTCTAAACATATTTGAAACGTTTCGTCGTGTCCAGCACTGCTAATTGCTACTAAAAGTTTTAAGACGTCTATACAACTCGTTTTGTTCATCTGCTTGTCGTACGGCTCCACGACGCTCTCCCGGTGGTTCCGCAGGAAAGCTAAACACAAAATAAATTAATTAAATTAATTAAATTAAATAAATAAATAAATAAACAAATAAAGTAAAATAAATAAATAAATTATAAGCTTCAGGAGTAAAGGGCAAGAACAGCATTTAAAAACAGAAATAAAAATATCAAAAAAATATAACACAATAAACAAAATAAATAAATACACTCAAATAAATAAATAACAAAGTAGATGATGAACAAGCAAACGCTAAAAAAACAAAGAAGACGAAAAACAAATACAACCAAACAAATACAACGAAATAATGGTAACTCAACAGCAGCAGCAGCAGCAGCAGCAGCATCATCAACGTCAGCAGCAGCGGCAGCAGATGCAACAGCAGCACTATCGGCATCATCATTCATAGCAGCAGCAGCAACAGCAGCACAACCATCACCATCATCAGCAGCATCACCCACAGCAGCAGCAGCAGCAGCATCACCATCACCCACAGCAGCAGCAGCATCAACATCACCCACAGCAGCAGCAGCATCATCATCACCCACAGCAGCATCACCATCACCATCACCCACAGCAGCAGCAGCAGCAGCAGCAGCAGCAGCATCACCATCACCATCACCCACAGCAGCAGCAGCAGCAGCAGCAGCAGCAGCAGGAGCAGCAGGAGGAGGAGGAGGAGTATACCTGTGAGGCAGAGTGCGAGCTGACAGAAAGTAGTTTCCCAGAAGAGGCGGACTTGCGGGGGTACACTGGCGGGGTCGTTATAATTAAGCGATTGTTTGGGTGTCTGCAGAGCTCTCTCGCTGAGCTTAGCCCAGAGAGTAAATAATTGTTTCTCAAACATCTGCTTCTCTTCAACAGATAGCTGAAGAGAAGCTACCTCTGTTAAGCATCTTAAACACTCCGAACGAAACGCAATATCCTCAAAGAAATGCTCAAGAAGTATAGCAATAATATCTGTCTGAAAGACATAGCCTAACGGTACCCACTTAAGAAAATGAGTTATACACCGTAATGTTTGCTGCACTAGAGATGTACGTACAGCTGAAGGTGAAGATATATAACTATGTAAAACAAACATGCATGTTGAGTACAGTTCTTTAAACTCTTTTGTTAATTCTTCTCTTAAATGCTCTAAACGTCTAGACACTGTCCCCGTTGAGCCAAAATCAAACACCTCCTCAGATAACATATTCAATAAACGCATATTATTTTCACATATCCCCTGTCCTGATCGGCTAGACTGACAAACTTCAGAAATAAACGAAGGCCACCGCTCAGGCCACTCCCTCTTCACTATCTAAACAAACAAAACACAAAAAGAAACAAACAAAACGCAAAAAATAACAAACCAAACAGAAAAAGAAACAAACAAAACACAAAAAGAAACAAACATTTTGTCGAAATCATCTTCACCAGCATGCAGACACACTCTATTTTTTTTGTTATATATATATATATATATGTATGTAACAATATATATATATATATATATATATATATTACAAACAAAAATACTAAACCCTAAACCGTATAGTCCCCCCTAAACCCTAAACCCTTACAAAACCCTACTCAATCATAAACCATGAACCCTAGAGAAGTAGAAATCCTAAAACCTAATAAACCTTAAGCCCCACTAAACCCTATAAACTCTAAACCCTAGACCTTCTCTTGCATCTTCAGAGACGGTGGCTAAGGAGCCCTTCTCCCTCAAACCCTAAACCCTAAACCCTAAACCCTAAACCCTAAACCCTAAACCCTAAACCCTAAACCCTAATTGTTGTGTTACCTGAATGAGGTTTTCATTGACCTTGTTGATGAAATGTTTTTCTGTTTTTTGCTTCCCCTCATCGCTCGCCAGTTGAATAACCAAAGATGTAACGAAAGCCTTAATGCCGTTTCTCTCTGCTTCCGGCAGCACATTCCAGCGCGTCTGAACATCAAAACCCTAAACCCTAAACCCTAAACCCTAAACCCTAAATCCTAAATCCTGCGGTTTATATACATATGCATATATATATATATATATATAACGCCGACGAAGCAAATGCAACAGCAGCAGCAAATGAGGGTTTCAGGTCAGCACGCGAACCACAAAGGCAGGGGATAGCCTCTGGCAAGGGTTTAGGGTTTAGGGTTTAGGGTTTATATAGCACCGTAATGGTTGCCTCTAGAATCTGAAGAGCAAAGAACTTTGTGTTCGGGTCTTTTGAAGAGTTTAAAATGAAAGCGACATGCGTCCACGCATTCGGCATATTTTTAAACTCCCCCAAAACCCGATGCGCCACATCCCGCTGTACATACACCCCAAACCCTAAACCCTAAACCCTAAACCCTAAACCCTAAACCCTAAACCCTGAACACTAGTGAAGTTGAGAACACTCCCCCGTTCGTACCCCATGCATCCCAAGCCCTAAACCCTAAACCACACTATTTGCCACATCCCAGTGTACATACACCTCAAACCCTAAACCCTAAACCCTAAACCCTAAACCCCAGTACAGTCGACAGCACTCCCCCGTCGGTATGTGATAGATCCCCAACCCTAAACCCTAAGCCATCTTAAACCCTGTTAAACCATTTTAAACCCTTAAGTTGTTTAACCGATATGATAGGACCCGAACCCTAAACCCTAAACCCTAAACCCTCTTAAACCCTTTAAAACCCTTTTAAACCCTTTTAAACCCTTGAGCTGTCTAACCTCTACATCATTGTTAGAGAGGAACATAGCCGCCACAACTCTGTCTAGCAGCTGCACTGCTGCTTCATTGAAGGGGAGGTTGGGGTCCAGTAGAGCGCGGGGGTCTGTAAGGGTTTGCATTTTGAAGAGAAATAGAAAAGAAACAAAAGCATCTAAAGGGCTGAGGTGTACAGGCAGCTCCGCAGCTGCGGGGCACACACAGAGAGGTCTCAGGTGTATAGGCAGCTCAGGTGTATAGGCAGCTCAGGTGTATAGGCAGCTGATGAAGAATGGTTTGCAGCAGTTTGTTCGCCGCCTTTTCTTTTCCTTTTCTCCTCTGTTCCCCCCTTAAATAAACGAAAGAACTCCAAAAGATTTAACAATAACTCCAGGGATATTAAAAAAATAAACATACCCCAGCGGCAACAGCCGCCGCTCAGCTCTCAAGAAACCCGCTGACCAAGGGTTTAGGGTTTAGGGTTTAGGGTTTAGGGTTTAGGGTTGAGCAGAGACCCTAGACTCTGCTGAAAACGCAAAAGAAGAAGAAGAAACCCGACGCTAAGGAAACTAATAAGCGAATGCGGGCGCCGACGGTTGAGGTGTATGTACACCCCACGGCCTTGAAAAGATATTAAAAGAAGAGTATAGAGGAGATGGCGGGTGCCGATCCTAAGGAGGAGGGCAGCGGAAAGAATGTTTAGGGTTTAGGGTTTAGGGTTTAGGGTTTAGGGTTTAGGGTTTAGGGATAGGGTCTGCATGCTTTGCGTGGGGGGGTTGAGAAGAACGAAGCTGTTCTTTAAAAGCCTTTGATGTCTTTTTGTGTATTCTAAACAAATTCATTTGCAGCGACACACAAAACCATCTCGGGAGCTCTCTTCTTCTCAGCATAGGGGGGGCCCCCCTAAACCCTAAACCCTAAACCCTAAACCCTCGATTCTTTCTTAGCCTTAGGGGCTGCGGCGGCTACATTTTGGGGCTTTTAACTCGTCGCTGAATGTAAGGGTTTTTCTTTTTTAATTAAAACAAACATTTTATTTTTTTGAGTTGCATGTACACCGCAGATCGGCTTTATTTTAGTTTCCATCTTCAGGGGGTTTTCTAACTTCATTTGTTGCATTTCTTCTCTGGCTGTTTGTTTATTTATTTGTTTGTTCTTCACTTTAGGTATTGCTGCTGACATTTTCTTTTTTTCTGTATATCTTTCTTATTCTTTTTTAGCTGCCTATACACCGTAAATGTTCATCAAGAGGGCAGCACCCAAAGGGGTGCGCAAGCGACCAAACCCAACAGACCCTGCAGCTGCGGAGGCCTCAGGAGATGCTTCTTCTTCTGCTGCTGCTGCTGCAGCAGCAGCAACAACAGCAGCAGCCGCAGCAGGAGACACAGCAACAGCAGCAGCAGCAACAGCAGCAGCAGCAGCACAGTCAGACGGCAGCGATGAAGAACATGCAAAGATTGCAAAGCGGAAGAAAACGAAAAATAAACTCTGCAAACACTTTCTTGTTGGAAGAGTACGCAGCTTATATGAGGGTTTAGGGTTTAGTGTTTAGGGTTTAGGGATTAGGGTTTAGGGATTAGGGTTTAGGGATTAGGGTTTAGGGTGTGAATTTCGATCTAGCTAGGCGCTGCCTACAGCATTGCTGCATTTGATGCTGCAGATTAGGGTTTATGGTTTATCGTTTACGGTTTAGGGTTTAGGGTTTAGGGTTTAGGGTTTAGGGTGTTTTGCGGTGTGCAGACAAAGAGCGAGACGCCCCCAGTAGAGAAGCCAACCGATGCCCTCGCTCAAGAAAGCAATCCTAACCTTGTAAGCAAACAGCAGCATTTAATTGTATTAAGAAGATGTTTATTAAATGTATATATAATATATATGCGTGCATGCTTTTATATAAAAATATATTTGCACATATAAGTGTATATCTATACTATATAATCTATTGTATATATATATACATATAGTATTTATGGGTGCGATATATATATATATATATATAATATGTATATTCATATATATATAATATATATGTCTAATATAAATATGTATGTGTATATACATATATACAAATATGCATATCTTTCTCTCTATCTGTCTCTGGTCTGCGTACACCCGAAGTACGAAGTCGCTGCTGTCTTTTTCTTTTTTTATAATTAGACATTTTCAATGTTTTTTACTGCATTTGTTTGATGTTGATTTTTACTCTTTCTTTTTTCTTTCTTTTAATTATTTTTTATATTTTATTGCTGTTTGCTGCTGTTTGTTGTTGGTGATTACGGATGGAAATAAATATATTATTTATTTATTTATTTATTTTTAATTATTTTATTTTTTGTTTTTTCGCGTTTATTTCTCTTTGCCCCAGATGCATGTCTTATTCAAATACTATTACTACTTTGTTTCTCTTATTATTATTTATTACTGTTATTATTATTATTGTTATTTATAATTATATATTATTATTGCTATTATTGTTTTAATTTTTTATTATGCATTATTATTAATTATTATTGTTCATTTCCCTCCTCCATCTGTTAATTTATTTAAAATCCAGTAACACAACAACTCACAACTGAACTAACAACCAAACTAATTAAATAATTAAATTAATTAATTATAAACAAATAAATAAATAAATATATTTATTTATTTATTTATTTATTTGCAGGATCTAGATGATGACGCCCGTGCAACAGCAGTGCTGGATGTTGATCCTGACCGAGCGACAGACCATCGGTCGATAATGGAGAGAAATTTAGAAATAAATGAGAAGTTAGAGAAAGGCGAATTAAAGTCGGGTATTTATAGAGGTATTGGTGCTTATAGAAGATATGTAAAGCCAAGTGAAGGAGCTTTATCTCGCAATAAGACGACGGGGTTATACGGGCCTACTAGAGGAGCAAACAATGTACGACTTACTATGTATGTTGATTATAAACCTGAAATATGCAAAGATTATAAAGAAACTGGTTATTGCGGCTATGGAGATTGCTGCAAATTTCTTCATGATCGAACAGATTATAAAGAAGGATGGCAGGTTGAAAAAGAATGGGAAGAAATACAGAAAAAAAAACTCGTAAATTGTCCACCCTAAACCCTAAACCCTAAACCCTAAACCCTAAACCCTCGTCTTCTATTAGGATATTCGCTCGTCAGGATTTGAAAGGACTCTTTTTGTTTTCTTTTTTCTCTTTGCTTTTTTTTCTTCTTTTCTTCTTTCTGCCGTTACTTTCCACGTTTGTTCTTTTCTGTTTGTTTGAATTTGTCTGTTTGATTTTGTTTTGTTTGATATTTGTTTGTTTGATTTTTATGCTTTTATCTTCTTTAGTTTGTTTGAATTTATTTTGTTGTTGTGTGCCTGTGGAGTATTTCTTTTTTACTCCTCTCTTTGTTTTTTTGTTTCTGTTTGTCTGTTTCTCTTTTCTTTATTTTATTCTTTCTTTGTGTATTTCATTATCTTTGGTCTCTACGTTTATCTTATTGTTTTAATAGTGTTATGCGTCTCTCTTTGTTTTTTTTCTATTTTTCTGTCTATCTCGCATTATTATTTTCATATTTAAATTTATTTCTCTGTTTCTTCTTACCCTTGTATTGTATTGTTTGTATGTTTTAATGGATCTCTCTTTATTTATTTTTCTTTTCTGTCTGTCTTTTAAAACCAAACAAAAACTAACTTTTGAACTGTTATTTATTTGCATTTAATTGATGTATGCAATATGCAGGAAAAGCTGCGGCGACAAGCAGAGGGAGAAGAAGGTGTTGGATCTTCTTCAGCGAGTTCTTCTGATGATAGTGATGATGAAGAAGATAAAGACGGTTTACCTTTTGCTTGTTTATCTTGTCGAAAGAGATGGGAATTAAAGATGAATCCAGTTATAACTCAATGTAATCATTACTTTTGCGAGAAATGTGCAATAGACAATTTCAGGAAAAGTAGACAATGCCCTCAGTGTGGTGCTGATACCTATGGAATATTCAACAGTGCAACCAAACTTATCAAAAAAATTGAAGAGAAAGAAGCTCTTAATGAACGAAACAGCGACGCGCAGCAAGCGCAAACAAACAGCAGCAATAATCATGATAATAATGATGATAACAAATCAAACAGCAGCGACAGCGACAGCGACAGAGACAGCGACAATGATACCAGTGAAGAAGAGGAAGAAGAAAAAGAAGAAGACGAAGAAAATAATGGATGAGGGCTGCATGCATGCAGAAATTGCTGAGACAAGTGGCTCTGTATACAGCTGTATATACACTGCAGATAAATAAATAAACAATTCAGCTCTTCCTCTTTTTGTAGAAGTCTTGCCCTGAATCTTAAACCCCAATTTTTTATTCTTTAAGTTTCTACTCTCCTTACCATTGCCTTCCTCATTCAAACCTCAACCGATCCTGAGATATGAATGCATACAGCCTTCATCTTAGACGCGCTTGTGGCGAGCACTAGCGAGGGTTTAGGGTTTAGGGTTTAGGGTTTGCGCTTAGGAATACCCATTTGCAGGCGTTTCGTGAGGCACTGCGAGGCCTAAAGTGCTGCTGCTGCTTCTTCTTTTCTTTGCGTTCCAATGAAATGCTGCAAGCCCTATTGAAGAAGGTGTGCAGGAGCTCTATGAGTAGTGTTTAGGGTTGTTGGGGGTGTTCCTATAGCAGAAAGTTATTGAGATATTGATTCTGCTCCAGAAGAAAAGATTAAAGGAATTACGGTAACTGCTCCTCATACAGATTATGAAACTTGTATGCGTTGTTATAAGAGCGTTGATTCTCCCCCAGCTGTCTGCAGTGTACCTCCACCTAGCTACCTGTAGCTGAGGACGGTGAAATATAACAATAATATGAAACCCGTCTCAAGGGTACCGATATTTTGATGCATGCAGAGCGGCAGCATGAATGCATGCATGCATGCATGCATGCATGCATATATGCATGCATTGCCCGCAAAATATGTGCAATATATAAATTTCCAAACGAAATAAGATTATTTCAACAATTTTACTGTGTATTTCAAGCAAAGAGACAGAGGGTTGCTGCTTTAGTTGAGTCCTGAAAGATAGAGACTCGGTGGCGTGCGACCGCGGCTCTGTTTCGCTGCTGTCGTTCTCTATGAAATGAGGAAGTAAATTATTAAATATTTGCAAAACAAGAAATAATAGGAAGTTTATTTATTTGAATATGTCAAAGGGCTGCAGCAACCTTCAATGCATGCTTTTCAGTGCATCATCACTTCAACTTTCCGCTTCGCTGCTCGCCGATCGCGGGTGTTGTAGCTGCTCTTCTCGCTTGAAACCTGAATAAAAAGTAAAAATAATACTTTAATTATTTTATTTACGCTTTATTTCATATTAGTAAAACAAAATGGCCTTCCAAGCGCTGCAGGAAGCAGTGAAATCAGGGCGAGTTGAGTTGGTGCTGCTGCAGCTGACTCAGACACCGGAAGCTGCAAAGGCAGCAGATTGTAATGGAACTACTTTAGTAATCTTAGCTGCTCGATTAAACAAAGAAGAAATACTCAAAGAAATCCTTGCACATGGGGGAGACCCCAACGCCGCTGAAATGCAGGAGATCGGCGGTAACACCGCTCTGCATTTTGCTGCAAGAAACAAAAATGAGTGAGAAGAAACAAAAAAATAAAGAAAAATAATAAAGTAGATGTATACACAGAACAAATTCTGCTTAATACAGCGAAATGGATAGAAGGCACGACCCCTACAGCCAGCCTTCGTATAATCCATTACCAACATCTTCAAAGAAACGCGTACTCAGCAATCTGTACGAAGAATATTTGTTTTTTCTTCTTACTATTTTCTCGTTGCTAGAGGTGTTAAATCTTCCCAGGTAGCTGGCCTACGTCTTGCGTTGGATTAGATAGCATTACTAATAGTAATTGATAATAATCTAATATTATCATTATTATTAGCAAAACGTCGAAGAAGAAAAACACGTTCTGTGTCTGTCTTTGTGTGTGGCAGTTCAGGGAAATGGTTTCTTGTTTGCTTTCCTTTGGAGCTTCGCCTAATCAACAAAACACCCTGGGTCAAACACCACTGCACATCGCCGCTCGCGTTGGCTGCAAGGGAGCAGCGGAGCAGATGCTGGCAGCAGGAGCGAATCCAGCAATAACAGACAAATCGGGTATAGATAGATGCAACTTCTCTGTTTCATTCATTGATTGCTGACGAGGTATCTCAAGAATAAACATGTGCACAAGAAAACCACCGAATAATGCATTTGCATGCATATCTTGTTGCAAAGGAACAGGCAAGAGAATTTATCACTTGTTGGTCTTTGTTTGTTGCTTGCAACTTCCGTTGGCTTCAGGGTTTGATGCGGCGTATTGGGCAGAACATGGGAAGTACAGCGACCTGGCGAGGCTGCTGCCGCCTCCAAAATGTTTAAATAGCAAAGACTTGGCTTTGTTTCAGCTGCTAGCCATGGATCAACTCGACCTACCGCTGAAAATGCCGACCAAGAAAAAAGGGAAAGGCAAGAAGAAATGAAAAAAAATGTGCGCCGCTACAAATTGAAACGCGTCATCAAATACGGATAAAAAGAAAAATGCACAGCGAAACATACAATTAAAACTACATTACAACTAGGCCTCTATAAATTCTCTTTAATCTTCTTCCCTTTCAGCTCTCATGAACATATCACGAAAATCATCAAAGTTGGAGTGTACGTACACCACATTCACTATTCGTTCAAAAGCCCTTCTTCTTCCCGAGCAAGTTGTGGATTGCTGCTTTATCCTTCAGGATTTGCAAATAATTTTCATCCCCAGCATTTAAAAATGTATTTCCACTGTACAGAAAGAGCAGCTTTGCTTTTTTTGAATTTTTTATTCACGTTCATCATCTCGAGCGTTGCGGAGTTGCAAGTGGAAAGTTCGGGTGCGGTGTTTGCGAGTACTACGCCATGAAATGGAATTCATCAAATTATATTATTCTTTTTTATCAGATTTCAGTACTTTCAGCTGCTCCAGCTCAGAACAAAAGAGTGTGCTTCCTGACAAAAACTTCGGCGCCGCCTGCGGGAGCCGCAACCAACCTCCTGAGTTTTCATGGTCGGGTGTGTCAGTGGCTTGAGCATGAAATTGAAGCTGCATAGGCCACTTAGACATTTTCTTTAATTCTGAATAACTACAGGAGCCCCTTATGAAACAAGTTCTTATGCAATTACAATCACCGATGTTTCGCGCGAAGACGGCGTTGTTGTGAGCCCAATTCAGAAAAAAAACATTTTTTGAATTCAAAGCATTTTTTAAGTTTCACCTCGCATCCATCATAACTCTGCTTTTTAAAGTTGCCGCATTTGCTGGCCTGGGACATTCCTGACGATGTTAGCCAGGTGAGGGGTTTTACGATTTTATTTCTATGCAGCAACAGCAATAAATGATATTCAACAAAATGCAGATGAGACCCTCCATAGACTGGCAAGCTTTGGGGGCCCAACTAGGCAGCACAGGGCCCTACAAGGGCCCCTGTCCTGTCTCTCGCCCTTCTTGTTTGCGTCTCTCTGTCTATGCAATCGGTACTCTCCTTTAATAAGCCTACACCCCCGCTAAGTGTTGCACAGCTTACATCCATTCTATGGGGCTGCTGCAGCAGACAAGAGCTTAAAACTTCCTGCCGGCGCGACGTACGAGCAGCTACATAAGAGGCTGACGGAAGTTGCAGAAGGAAACGGTTTGTTTGTTTTTATATTGCATACAAACAAATATTATGTATGCATCATCGGTTAACTACATACAGGCCTGTTGGATGCCTCTGTTCTTTACACATCCGCTGTCCCTAGACAACCCGACAGCATTCGAACGGGGGTTTAGGGTTTAATTTACAGCAGCAGAAACGACAATTTTTATTCATCAGCGTTTCGCTTGGTGAAGCTTGAAGAGCAATCTACACAACAGAACTGCATATACACTGCATCGTACCCTTTCTATGTCTCCATACGGCGGGAGAGCCTAAACCCCTTTGTCTCTGTTGAAATTCAAATGGATTTCAAATGCATTATGTTATAAAACCTCCTTCGAACCGCAAACAGATTCAGCTGCACGCACACTGCAGAGTTCAGCTGTACGTACAGCCCAGTAGCAGTTGAGCACTGCAGTCAGCTAAACCCAGCGGAAAGACGGTGAAATAAGTAAATAAAATAAATTATTTTATTTTGTTTAACTCTCAAATGCAGAAATATAAACAACAAAAATAATACAAACCCGAATACAAACGACAGCCCCGCTGGTGCGACCTGCCTTTGGGGTGTTAAGCCGTTAAAAGATTAAAGAAAAGAGAAATAACAATTGGGAATAAATTAATGATTCATTTTGAAATAACTTATTGTTTATTTCGTGCTTTCTCTTGAGGCTAAGTACTTCTTTTTCTTCTACAATTTCTCTCCTTGAGTATGTTTGCGGTGTACGTACAGCTCAGGGGCTGCAGCGTCGGCAGCACTTCCGTTTCGTTGGGGGCTTCAGCCAGTTATGAAGTCTCTAGACGATGGCTGTGCTGCACACAGATGAACCTTTTCGCCCTCTAAACGATCAGCAGCAGCAGCAGTAGCAGCAGCAGCACGTGCAGCAGAAGCAACAGCAGCAGCAGAAGCAGGCCCCAGGTCTTAAGACCGCCTTGTGCTTCGAGCTTCAGCCTCAGCGGTTTCTTCCCTCTTTCTTCAGGTGTATCCTGATCACATATCTGCTGCTGCTTCTTTATTGTTGACAGCATCTCGAGTGAATTGCTGCAGCAAAAGCAAAAGCTTCGCTGCTTCTCCGCAGCCACAGCCGACAGAGGGGCCCCCCATGGGGGCCCCCCAACTCGATGCCCCTCGTTGGGGGGCCCCCGCGTTTCGTTTGTCTGTAGAGACGACAGATTTTCTCTCTGCAACGCCAGCACCTGAGTGGACTGTCTTCAATGTTGTTAGCCACTGCTTAGCCTTCTTAGAGGCCCTCAGGGTGCCCCCAGGACAAGACACCAGAACTGCAGCAGCAGCTGCTGCTGCAGATGCTGCAGCAGGTACAGCAGCTGCACAACACCCCCAACCTGTGTACGTAAACCTCAAGCAATGGATGCGATTCAATGCGCGCCTCAATGCTGCAAATACCTGCAGCAGCAGCAGCAGCAGCAGCAGCAGCAGCAGCAGCAGCAGGGTGGGAGCCATCCGGCTGAAGCAAAAGGCTCAGGCGCCCCCAGCACTTAAAGACAGCGAGGCTGTCGCTATTTGGGGGGCAGCAGCAGCCCTGGCGTTTCTACATACGCGAAGGAAAGCTCGGCAGTTCAAATGGCTCAAGCAGCAGCAGCAGGAGCAGCAGCAGCATCAGCAGCAGCAGCAGCTGCTACAGCAGCAACAGCACCTGCAGCAGAGTCAAAAAGCACTTCACGATCAGTTCCCGTTGCTGTATTACCCTTCTGCTGCAGCTGTTGCAGCAGCAGCAGCAGCAGCAAAGGACTCCCTCTTAACAAGGACATCGGCTGCGTGGGAGTCACCAGCAGCAGCAGCAGCAGCAGCTGCTGCTGCTGCAGCTGATGCAGCAGCAGCAGCAGCATTAGCAGCACCCGCTGCAGCAATTCCTTCTTCAGGGCCTCAAGGGTTGTCTACCCCTCTGTTGAATGCTCAGGAGGAGGTCGTGGAGATACGGGTTTTGTTTTTGCTGCTGCTGCTGCTGGCAGCTCGTCGGCAGCAGCAGCAGCAGCAGCAGCCCTTCCCTTCTCCTGACGAACCATGGCTGTCTCCTTCTTCTCTTAACTCTCCTAGAAAAGGAATTCAATCTGCAGCAGCTGAGGCCCAGCGCAGCGACAGCAGCGTGCAGCCTAATAATAAAACAACACACAAGTCAGCCCAACGTACATAATGCTGCTGCTGCTGCTGCTTGTGCTGCTGCTGCTCGTGCTGCTTCTGCTTGTGCTGCTGGTTCTGCTGCTTGTGCTTCTGCTGCTGCTTGTGCTGCTGCTTCGTCTGCTTCTGGTGGTGTTACTTTTCCTTGTGCTGCTGCTCGTGCTGTTGCTGCTGCTCCCGCTGTGGCTGCTTGTGCTGCTGCTGCTGCTTGTGCTGCTGCTGCTGCTGTGGGGTTTTCCTGTCTCAACGACTGCCGTCTTTGCAGCTGCTGCGCACCCGCAGAAGCTCAGAGGTTGCTGCTGCAGTACTTCTTGCTGCTGCTGCTGCTTCTTGCTGCTGCTGCTCTTCTTGCTGCTGCTACTCTCATAACTGTTGCTGTTGGTTCTGCTGCTTATGTTTTTGCTGCTGCAGCAGCGCACACTTGGACTCCACCAAACTGCGGCAGCATCTGCTGCACCACCTACCGCAGCTGCTGCAGCTGCTGCGTTGTGATCGCCCTTCTCAACAGCAGCAGCAGCAACAGCAACAGCAGCAGCAGCAGCAGCAACATCAGCAGCATCAGCAGGATGACAACGGCTGTCTTGCTGCTTTTGAGATGGAGGCCCTCGACGCCTTTCTTGAATGGTTCGTTGCTGCACTCTGCTGCTGCAGCAACTGCTGCTGCTGCTGCTACTGATGGAGCTACTGCTGCTGCTGCTGCTGCTGTTTGTATATTTGGCTGCTGTTTGTATATTTTGCTGCAGCTGCTACGGGTTGTTGCCGCTGCCTTTCGTCCTCGGAGCAGCAGCAACAACAACTGCAGCAGCAGCAGAGACAGCCGCCACCGCCTTTGCTGCTGCTGCACAGGGGTGCACCGTTTTTCAGCAGGAGCAGGAGAGAGTTGTTGCTGCTGCGTCTGCTGCTGTTCGTGTGGTGCTGCTGCTGCAGCGAGAGCCCGCAGGGGTTTGCTGCTGCACTCATTGGAGAGACGTCGCCGCTGCTGCCATATAAACTGCTGCCTCAGGGGGCCCTTCAAGTAAGCCTTCGCGGTCTTCTTGCTGCTGCTGCTGCTGCTGCTGCTGCTGCTGTTGCTGCTGCTGCTACTACTACTGCTGCTGCTGCTGTGAAGATGGGTAGGATTTGCCTTGTATTGTTTTGGCTATTGAGAGGCTGCGAGAGGAGTTCTCGGTTGCCTTTGAAGGCTTCCTCTTTCGCATTAGGGTTTAGGGTTTAGGGTTTAGGGTTTAGGGTTGTGACGTGTACGCAGCACCTACTGAGGGGCCCCAGCGGATCCTTGGGAGTCGCGAGCGCAGCAGACAAACAGCAGCAGGCGGTGAGGCAAACGGTATAGACAAGCGAGCAGGGTTTAGGGTTTGTTAGGGTTTATTAGGGTTTATTAGGGTTTGTTGGGGTTTATTAGGGTTTAGGGTTTAGGGTTTGAGTGGGCAGTTGTGAGGTGCTTCTGCTGCTTGGCGGACAGGCGCTTCAGGCACGCTGTCAAATTCGAAGCCTCAAAGGGGCGCTGCGATGTCTGAACTCCGTAAGACCCTAATTTAGGGTTTAGGGTTTAGGGTTTAGGGTTTAGGGTCTGAGGCTCTGGGTTATTAGGTCTAGCGGCTGGCTATTTTCTGTTTAGGGGTTTTGCGGCCAGCGAATGGCATGGGTTTCGCCGATTTAGGGTTTAGGGTTTGGGGTTTAGGGTTTAGGGTTTGTGTTGCAGGCGGCTTTGGGCGAGTCGCGTATATTGCGGATTTCTTCCTGCAGCAACAGCGACATTTTCATTTCATGGCCGTAGGTTTAGGGTTTAGGGTTTAGGGTTTAGGGTTTAGAATGGTGTGACTGTTGTATGTCAGCGTGTTCAGCGCGTTGGTATGTAGGGTTTGGGGTTTAGGGTTTAGGGTTTAGGGTTTGCGCTCAGGGTTGAGGGTTTATTCTTAGAAGGCCTCTCCGGGTGTTCGGTTGTCGCGCCAGCCATTGAGGGGCCCCTCTTCGTGCGGAGCTGCTGCCGGCTTACCCTCCACGCCAGGGCAAACGCAGTCTTGTACGCTCTAGGGTTTAGGGTTTAGGGTTTAGGGTTTAGGGTTTAGGGGTTTCGGTTGGGGAGTTGCGGTCTGCTGGGCGCGGTGGTGGAGGCGTTTGAAGCCGCTGATACGTTGAGAGCTAAGAAGGGCTTCGGGTCTAGGGTCTAGGGTTTAGGGTTTAGGGTTTAGGGTTTGCGTGCAGCGTGGACAACACCTTGGGTGCGGATTTGTTTGTGGCTTGCTGCTTCCCCCCAATCCTTTTGGGAGACAGCCGAGCTCTTTCTTTAGGGCCCTACAATGTTATTTGCCGCCCCCCGCAGCAGCAGCAGCAGCAGCAGCAGCAGCAGCAGCAGCAGCAGCAGCAGGAACAGGAGGAGGAGCAGCAGGAAGAGGCGGCCTATGAGCAGCGCATTTTGTCTCTGCATGCACCGTAAGTGCTTCACAACAGCCAGCAGCACCAAACAGACCCCTAAACCTTAAACCCTAGGGATTACTCTTCTTCCGCCCCAAACCCTAAACCCTAAACCATCAGCAGCCTTTTGCGCATCTCTCAGGCCGCTGCCCCTGGTCGTTGCTTCTTTCGCTCTCCCAGTTTGTCTTTGTGGGGGTCCAGCTGAAGGAGAGGGGGCAGAGGAAACCCTAAACCCTAAACCCTTTAAACTCGTAAACCCTAACAAATTCCATGTGCGCTGCACAGCCCCTATGTTAGGGTTTAGGGTTTAGGGTTTAAGGTTTAGGGTTTAGGGTTTTAAAACGAAGGGTTTAGCCCTAATTGTTGAGGGCGCCGGTAGACTTGGATATTAGGGTTTGGAATCCAGGGTTTAGGGTTTAGGGTTTAGGGTTTAGGGTTTTTGTTGTGTGCAGATGATCCCTGCTGTGTTTGAACCCAACTGCTACGAGGGTTTAGGGTTTAGGGGTTTGGCTTTGCTGCCCCTGCCGCAGCAATACAACGAAGCTGTACAAACCCTAACCAGAAAGGTGAAAGTTATATTTATTTTTTATTTTATTTGTTTTGTTTATTTTTATTTTATTTGTTTTGTTTATTTTTAATTTATTTGTTTTGTTTATTTTTTATTTTATTTGTATATTTGTTTGTTTTGTTTGATTTATTTGTTTTTTATTTGTTTGTTTTTGTCTGTTCAACTCATAACGCTCCCCGTCTGGGCCTCAATTCTAGGGTTTAGGGTTTAGGGCTTAGGGTTTAGGGTTAAGGGTTTAGGGTTTAGGGTTTAGGGTTCCGTTTTGCATATTATTAGAGATTGAATTTTTCTGGTTTTTACTCTTTTTGTTTATTCTCTAAACGGTTTAGGGTTTATTAGGGTTTAGGGTTTGTTCGGGTTTAGGGTTTATTAATAGGGTTTATTAGGGTTTATTAGGGTTTAGGGTTTGTCTATTTACCTTCACAGGTTTGTACAGGGCAAGTTATATTGCAGCGGGGGGCACAAGAGAAACACCAGAGAGACTCTGTCTCTCTTCTTCTTTGTTTTATGCTTTTGTTAGTATTAATAAACCCTAATGAATAAACCCTAATCGATAAACCCTAATGAATACACCCTAATCAATAAACCCTAATCATTAAACCCTAATCAATAAACCCTAATCAGTAAACCCTCATAAAGGATTAAACCCTCGTAAACCCTAGTGCCTCAGTAAACCCTCACAAATAAACCTTAATAAAATTTAATAAATCCTAGTAAACCTTAACAAACCCTACTAAACCCTAATAGACCCTAGTAAGCCCTAATAAGCTCAAGCAAACCCTAATAAACCTTAATAAACTTTAACAAACCCTATTAAACCCTTATTGGGTGTTCAATTGTGCAGAGAATTCTGTAGAAAAAATTCACCGAAGTCGCGGCGTTTTCTGCAGCACCTCAGCAGGCGGGCGGACGATCAGGTGAGGGTTTATGGTTTAGGGTTTAGGGTTTAGGGTTTAGGGTTTGGGGTTTAGGGTTTAGGGTTTAGGGTTTGGAGTCGAGGGTGTGAGGTGTGCCGCCTGTGCAGGCAGAACTGCAGCAGGATCCTCCGGCCTGACTGGGCAGCAAACGCCCGTTTGCAGGGGTTTAGGGTTTAGGGTTTAGGGTTTAGTACTGGGGGTTTAGGGTTTCCGTTTAGATTGTAGGTTTTGTAATATGCGAATAAGGTTTTGTTTTGAGGGTTTAGGGTTTTGTTTTGAGGGTTTAGGGTTTTGTTTTGAGGGTTTAGGGTTTTGTTTTGAGGGTTTAGGTTTTTGTTTTTTGCTTCACCCAACTCGCATTTAAAAAATGATTGGGGTGGCACCCGTTGCGTCCTTCTATTTAGGGTTTAGGGTTTAGGGTTTAGGGTTTTAGGGTTTAGAAGTTGATGATATGGGTTTAGGCTTCAAGGGTCATAATTCAGGGTTTAGGGTTTAGGGTTTAGCGAACAGCCTTTTGTGACTCGTTTAAAGAGGAAAAGAAAGAGAAAGCAAGAGACAGACAAAAAAATAAACAGAGACAGATAAAGAGAGACAGAGACAGAGAGAGAGAGAGAGAGAGAGAGAGAGAGAGAGAAATAAAATATAAAGAGACAGAGAGAGATAAACAGATAGAGACAGATAGATAAATAAGCAAATAAATACATAAACAAATAAATAAATTAATAAATAAATAAATAAAGAGAAAGAAAGAAAGAGATAAAGAGGCGGAGAGACAGACATCAAAGATCAACCAAAGAAAACAAAAATAGACAAAAAGAAACGAAAAGAAGCAGAGAAAATAAATAAAAATAAATAAAAATAAACAAAGAGACAACAAACAAAAACAAACAAAATCAAACAAAGACAGACAAAGACAGACAAAGATATAAACTAAAGGAGACAGTTTCTAAAGGAGACAGTTTCTTTGCCTTCACCAACAGCAGCAAAGACAGCAGCAAAGGAGTAGGGAAGCAAATATAATAATATTGTTGAACGACAA